TACCGATCTGTATGAAATTGCATTATTTAAATTAGTGACATAAATAAGCCTATTTAATTTCAGCAATTTCGATTAATTACTTCTAGAGTTATGGCCCTTGTTTCACTTTGTTGCACCATGTGAACAATCCAACACCATAATTTATCATCCGATCTGTAAGAAATTTATATGCATCAATTATATGAGTGAAACGAAGAAGCCAATTGTATTTCCGCAAATTCTGTTACGAGCCATTCCACGAGAAAACCATGCAGAAGGTGGGAAGGTGGGGGTCGGCAGATCGAGTTCATCTCGGGGGGGGGGGGGGGGGAGGGATTTTATGGACTCCTCCAGACTACTTCACAGCCAAAAGAGCTGATCTCAAAATTTAACCGTTATTGAGATACAGCATTTGGCTGATTTTTGGCCAATTTTGCCCTTTTTCGGGTCATTTTTGGTCAATTTTCAGCCACCTATTCTGGCGAGTCTAGGGTTGGGATGAAAATGGTGGTGGTTGGTGATGTTAGTGGGGGTCTTCCTGTGCCCCAAAATGAAGACCATAAAGCCGCATCTATTCTCTGGGAGTAATGGTCAGCAAAATTGTAACATATGGCAAATAAAATAGAAAATATACACCTTCGGAGATCAGCTCTATTTTCTATGATGTGGGGGTAGGTAAAATATAGAAATGGTTTTATGCACAGCTCAACACCCTCTATCGATATAAGAAATAAAATCGCTGTCACCTCTTTTTATTCAATGCAAAATCATAAGTCAAAGTTGGTGAATTTTCCCTATTGTAAATCTCTCATTTTCTATGAAATGGCCAACTACTTTCATTCAGGGTAAGCCAGCTTTCTCCGTATCTTCACCAAATCTTCCACCCATGCTCGCTGGTAGCAGCAGTAAACCGGCTCGAGCAAAACGGGTCTCTTTGATAAGGTTTAGTATCCAATCCAAGATGGCCACGCCCGAGACCGCAGAAAATTGGGTTTTCCCTTCATTTTTGGCCATAGAATGTGGTACATATCCCAGATATGAGCCAGAAAATCACTTCCTACAATTGAAAGAGTGTACTAAGGATATTAAAGCCCACTCTTAAGCACATTACATAGCAATAAGTGATGTGAGAACCGAATGGGAGCTGATTTCTTAAAAAAGTGATAATTTTGATCTTAATTTGTCAATTCTAGATGGAAAGGTGATAATGTGCTGCCAATCGCTACCCTGGATCTCAAACGGAATATTCCAAAAGTATGTAAACATCCACTGCATGATACCACACCTAATGGGAATCCATACAAAGACCGTGCTGTGTCACTTAGCATTAGCTTATTCCTATTGGATCGGGTAAGTGAAATAAAATACTATTCAAAAATAAAGAGGGAAAAAATTGTGTCTTTGAAATATCGATGAAAATCTTGTATGTGTGCGCGACCACAATCAATTTAGCATTGAGTCTGATATACTGTAGCTGTAATACCTTTACTGATGGCTAGCTCTATGTTGCTTTTTTAACTTTGACAGCATTAAAAAATTCTTGTTAATTTTAGAATTTTTTTTCTTCTGTTCTAGGTATATGCTGGAAATGTTATGCTGCCCATAATAAGGAAATGGACCGTAAAAAGATCCAGGTTAGTTCTTCAAATAAATAATATGCCATAGGGTCAAAAATTCAACTTCATCATATGATCATTTCCAGAGCCCAAAATGGATCTTGCCAGACCTTTTAAAACTAAATTATTTCATGTGGTTTGATATTACTGTGGGAACTGATGAAATCCATCCCAATGCTACATCATCTGCAGCTACTGGTTTGACATTACTGTGGGGGCTGATGACATCCATCCCACTGCTACATCATCTGCAGCTACTGGTAGTGACTCTAACACTCATCATCAATCTACTGCTACTACATCATCTGCAGCTTTGGGTAGTGGAATTGACATACGGCCTCCTCTTCCTGTAACAGCTACTGGTAGCAACATCAGTGACAGTAATGACTTAGAACTACCAACAGTGGGAGTGCTGTCATCAGTTCCCACAGTAACTTCAAACCACATAAAATAATTTTCTAAACTTATTCCACATAAAATAATTAACTAAACTTATTTCCTAAGTATTTGCATGGATCAAAATTTGAAAAAATTTATGAAGAAATCAAGTCTCCGATTGATCGCCTAGTCTGGTCCCTTTTACCAGCCAGTCCATCATTCGGAGACTAGATACAAGAAAATTTTCAATGGCAAATATACGTTGGGGTTGATATTAAGAATATTTTGAAAGGTGGCCCCTAATAGAAATATCCTTCATATACATATTTAGTTTTAAAAGGCCTGGCAAGATCCATTTTTGGCTCTGAAAAAGATCTTATGATGAAGTTAAATTTTTGACCCTATGCCATATTTTTTATTTGAAGAACTAACCTGGTTCTTTTGACGCTCCATTTCCTTATTATGGGCAGCATAACATTTCCGGCATGTACTTAGAATAGAACAAACAAATTCTAAAATTAACAAGAATTTTTTAATGCTGCCAAAGTTAGAGCTAGCCGTCAGTAAAGGTATTACAGCTATATCAGACTCAATGCAGTGAGTTTGAGGACTTCTGAAGCCCATGGCTTTACTTGATCAACTCGAGCTTCACCACAAAACTCTTTTCTGCTAATTTTATTGCAGTCAAGAACTCAAGTGTAACGCACAATTCTTTTCTGCTAAATTGATTGTGGTCCAGCACACACAAAAGGCTTTTGTCGATATTTCAAAGACACAATTTCTTTCTTCTTTTTTTTTCAATAGCATTATATTTCACTTACCCGATACAATAGGAATAAGCTCTAAGTAACACAGCACGGTCTTTGTATGGATTCCCATTAGGTGTGGTTCCATGCAGTGGATGTTTACATCCTTTTGGAATATTCCGTTTTAGATCCAGGCGGTAGCGATGGGCAGCACATTATCACCTTTCCATCTAAAATTGACAAATTAAGATCAAAATTATCACTTCGTCAAGAAATCAGCTCCCATTCGGTTCTCACATCACTTATTGCTATGTAATGTGCTTAAGAGTGGGCCTTAATATCCTTGGTACACTCTTTCAATTGTAGGAAGTGATTTTCTGGCTTATATCTGGGATATGTACCACATTCTATGGCCAAAAATGAATGGAAAACGCAATTTTCTGTGGTCTCAGGCGTGGCCATCTTGGATTGGATACCAAGCCTCATTAAAGAGACCCGTTTTGCTCAAGCCGGTTTACTGCTGCTACCAGCGAGCATGGGTGAATGATTTGGTGAAGATACGGAGAAAGCTGGCTTACCCTGAATGAAAGTAGTTGGCCATTTCATATAGAATCAGAGATTTACAATAGGGAAAATTCACCAACTTTGACTTATGATTTCGCATTGAATAAAAAGAGGTGACAAAGATTTTATTTCTTATATCGATAGAGGGTGTTGAGCTGTGCATAAAACCATTTCGATATTTTTCCCTTCCCCCGCATCATAGAAAATAGAGCTAATCTCCGAAGTTGTATATTTTCTATTTTATTCGCCATATGTTACAATTTTGCTGACCATTACTCCCAGAGAATAGATGCGACTTTATGGTCTTCACATTGGGACACAGGAAGACCCCCACTAACATCACCAACCACCACCATTTTCATCCAAACCCTAGACTCGCCAGAATAGGTGGCTGAAAATTGACCAAAAAATGACCTGAAAAAGGGCAAAATTGGCCAAAAATCAGCCAAATGCTGTATCTCAATAACGGTTAAATTTTGAGATCGGCTCTTCTGGCTGTGAAGTAGTCTGGAGGAGTCCATAAAATCCCCTAGAGATGAACACGATCTGCCGACCCCCCATCTTCCCGATTCTGCATGATTCTGCGTGGTTTTCTCATGGAATGACTCTTAATTACATCTAGAGTTATGGCCTGTGTTTCACTTTGTTGCACCTTGTGAACACTCCAACAAAAGTTATCATCCAATCTGTACAAAATATTTGCCTCATTTAGATTTATGAAACGAAGTGGTCTATTGAATTTCAGCAATTTCTGTCAGTTACATCTAGAGTTATGGCTCTAGTTTTACTTTGTTCAACCATGTGAACGCTCAAATAACAGTTATCATCCAATCTTAAAACGAAATTTCAACAATTTCTATAAATTACTTCCAAAGTAAAGGCCCTTGTTTCACTTTGTTGAACCTTTTGAACTCTCAAACAACGTAAATTATAATCTGATCTGGAAATTGTCTTGTAAATGCCCCGCCATTACCTTTTTACTATGTATTTAGAGCTAGCAAATATCCATCCTTATCTCATGAGAGCGGCAAGTAAACAACATATAAAGTAAATTTCACTGTCTTACAGTATCAGTCAGTTGCCACTAGCATGAGTTTTAAAAAATAGCAAAAGGACAAAACTACTTTAGATGACTCCAAACTGAGAACCGTTACCATAACCTAAATAAAAAATTAAAATTACAGGGTTTTATCAAATGTTTTGATCAAGTTCATATAAAGTATTTTCAAATTAATTAATATTGTCATGTGAATGCCTATTTTGAGTGAATGTTTACTGTGTGCAGCAAATGCACGTGCACATGACTGAATTGTGATCATTTGAGAAGCAACAAAAGTAGATTCAGTTTTTATTAGCACACATATTTGAGGCTGTGGACCACCCTACATAAAAATATATATTTCAACGGGTCACACTTTAGCTGTGGGGAAAACTAACAAGTTTATGAAGTTACTACTGTGGTATTGAACTCACAACAAGAATATTGGTGACAAGCTGCAGATCTCTAGGGCTGCTGCCCAACATATAAAAAGATAAAACCAATTAAATGTTGAAATCCATTAAGTTTTTTTTTTCTTTTCAGTATGATTTGGTCTATACATTTTTTCATACATTTTTTCAGCTGCAGATCTCTACCGCTGCTGGCCAACATATAAAAAGATAAAACCAATGAAATGTTGAAATCCATTAACTTTTCTTTTTTTTTTGTTCTTTTCAGTGTGATTTGGTCTATACATTTTTTCATACATTATTAAGGGATGAACAGGAGGAAGCTAGTAAACTTAAAGTTGCCAAGCTAAGAGGTTAGCAAATGTTAATTTATCAAAGTTAAAAAATACTCTTTAAAGATGGGTTCCCAAAAAAGTATTTATCGGGTGGTTATTGCCAATAAAAGTATGGCAATTTTGGTATATATGGAAAGTAGAGATATCCAATCTTACTAGAAAAATACTGTAAAAAAAAAATGTAAGGGTTCCCCTAATCGACGGCCCGACGATTAGGAATTTCTGCACGCGTGATGTCAAAGATCACACGCGAACATTGAGCACTGGATGTACAAGTTGATAAACTTTATGAAGAGTTAGACGTACATCACTTTCGGAGATAAAAATGACGGAAAAAGACGTGGGTAGTGGATAATCTGAGAATTTAATTAGGATTTGATATTTGTAATAAATAGTAAGCGCTTAAAGACAACATCGTCTTATGTATGCAATGAATTCTCCTCTGAGGTAAGTCACGTGACGTAAACATGACCTGGTTTGATCGAATTTTTATAGCAGGGCATTCCTTCGCAATTACAATGTTTGAGAAGGATTTGAAGCAAAATTATGACAAATTAATTAGTTTGAATATGTTTTTAGTCCATATATACCATTAAATCACCCAGTTTGATACCATGAATAGTAACCAGAATTAACCTTTTCTGTGTGCTTCGATTATATTCTAACGCAGAAGCCAGTTACGAAAAGCTCAGAGATCAGTTCTACACACTATGCATCCAGCAGTGTTATTAGGTGAATGCCTTGGAGTTCGAAGATGAGCAATTTCTGATTAGGCTAAGCAGAGATACTGTAAAACATGAAATTATTGCGAGTTGGGGTGGTGAAACATAATTGCGACATGAAATTATTGCGAATTTCTATAGTGGGGAAAAAATTATTGCGACATGAAATTATTGTGAATTTTAATAATTTTTTTTAGTAAATTTGTCTATAAAATGTGGTAGATTGTTAATTTTGAGGTGACAGTCGGCTCTTCAAAACATCGGTTGATTGGTGATCATTTGTAACAGTCAATAAACAACTATTGAGGATTATAGCTTTGAGGTGACAGTCGGCTCTTTAAAACATCGGTTGATTGGTGATCATTAGTAACAGCTAATAGTGTAAACTTGTCATTTTGTACCAACCTTCGATACTACTGTCCACCATTGTGATGCATTTGATAATAGTTATCCATTTTTGTGAAGAAAATCGATGAATTAATTTTATTTTATCAAAAAAGCACATGAACAAAAAACCACCGCTAATTTTATCTCCTATTTACAGGGGGTGTAACTCTGTATGTAATATTATAGGAGACACTAAAACGTCTGTTTAACAATAAAGTGGCAATGGAAAAGAGATACTAGATGATCTTGACAAAACTCGGTACTTTTATTTTATTCAATCAGTATCAAATAATGTGTGGTTACGCGTGAAAACAATGACCAGGTTAGTTGTTTAATAAAACAAAAGATTAATTAATAGATAATCCCGGGTTACATTTCTTTTTACCTGATCAGTGGGGGTCCAGTTAATTAACTACTACTCACGGGATTAGCGGGGGTGTTACATAGAACGACAAGATGGTAACATTCAACAATGGCCGTTGAATGGGCGATGTTTTGTTGAATTTATTTGTAAAATAGTGACCGCTGGCCGCGTTAGAGGAGTGACCGTTGAATAAAGAGATGAAACAACAGAATTCTTACGGGGGGAATTTATGGCGACCGCTGAATAGGAGTGGCTGCTCATACAGATTCTAATGTACTTATTGGGACTCTTTCTTGTGAAGAGTAATAAAGGGGGAGTAATTCAATATGGCCGACATTTTAACAAATTTTCACGAAATTATTGCGAACATGAAATTATTGCGGGAGGGCCTTGCTCGCAATTTCGCAATAATTTCATGCTCGCAATAATTTCATGTTTTACAGTAAACAATTTGATTGGTTGATACTTTGGAACAGGATGACTTTGGTTATAAACTTTTGTGATGAAACTTGGTGTATAGCTAGCTTCATTACGTCCAATACCATGACTAAGTTCGATAATGAGCATTTTGCTCAGGATAAGCAGAGCGATAAGCAATTTGATTGGTCGAGGCTTTGGAGCTCAACAATAACATTGATACTAATTGAGTGAGAGTGGTGAAACATTGTGTGTAGTTTCATTACATCAATACCTTGACTATGTACGATGATGAGCATTTTCTCCTTAGGCTAAGTAGAGACTTTGGAGCTCAACAGTAACATTGATACTAATTGAGTGAGAGTGGTGAAACATTGTGTGTAGTTTCATTACATCAATACCTTGACTATGTACGTTGATGAGCATTTTCTCCTTAGGCTAAGTAGAGACTTCAATCTGATTGGTCGAGACTTTGGAACACAATAACTCTCCTTCTAATTGAGGTCTTCTAATTGAGGTAGAATGTTCAAACTTGGTGTAGGTGTTTATTGGGTTATTGCCTTGACAATGTTTGACTGTGTGCATTTTCCACTAAGGCTGAGCAGAGATAAGCAATTTGATTGGTCAAGACTTTGGAACATAATTGAGGTAGAATGTTTAAACTTGGTGTAGATGTTCATTAGGTGAATGTCTTCACCGAGTCCAATAATTAACATTTTTTGCTAAAGCTAAGCAGAGCTCAACAATTTGATTGGTCGATGCTTTGGGACGAGATAACTTTAATTCTAACCCACGGAGAGTGATGAAACTTAGTATATAGTTTCACTACCAGGTACTTCAAAACCTTGACTGAGTTTGATCGTGAACATTTTTTTCTGCTTAGACTAAGTATAGATAATCAGTTTGATTGCTCTATACTTTTCAAAAAGATAAATGTGCAATTAATTAATAGGTGTCATCTATTTATTTTGGGATTACGGCAGGGGATGTCAGCCTCGCTGTGGCTTGTTATAAATAAATCTAGGGATCATAAAAGTAATACGCTTTTATGACCAATAAATCTTGGCCTAATGTGACCCGGCATAGCAAAATAAGTCACAGTGACCAATAGTTCAAAATGAGGTTTTTGCATTATCATCTCTGAGAAATTGCGATTTGAAGTTGGGTGGTGCCACCAGCATCCCGTGTTTCTGAACATGGGCGCTCCATCTTGATAACATCCTCCAATGCACTGTGCATGACTCGAGCTATCCAACAGAACGGCAATCAACCAATCAGAGGTTGGGATTTTAAGGTCATGACCTCTAACATGTCAACAATAGGGCTTGTTCATGAAAATTATGTGGATTCTCGATCTGTTTTTAGTTCATAAAGACGTGGCGTTATTATAATGAGTATCACAAGTAGCAAGGGGAAATCCTCCCCTTTATAAATTATACTCATACCCGTATGTTGGGAATTCCCTGCTTCGATATTTTACGAAAACGGCAAGTAAATGAGCAATTGTTTTGCTTTTATTCTGAGATAATTAATGACTTCTTTGCTGATTGCCTTTTACAAAATGCAATTAAAGATGTTTTTTTCATGAAAATTAAACTTTTAATCGATAAAAGAGGTACTTATATGGCTTTCAATGAGGAATTGTCCAGGTCACATATTTGACACCTAATCGGTGCATTTAACTAAATTCAAAGCAATTTAGCAAGTTGATAAAAAAGCCTATTGTCTGCAAAAGCTTGTGCACACAATCGAGATTATATTTCTTCACGACATCCTTATTGAATTTGACAACAAAACTGCGTGGCTATCTTTCTCTTTTATTGTAGAACCAATAATAAGTCAACCACTACTAAATACGTCTGGTATACAAGGTGATATAAAGTTATCTCTACTACACAGAAGAGATGTCTTTCATGTTATGATTATCCATGTTCGAAATTTGGTAAGTAGTCAACATTATCTATTTATAATCAGGTATACCATCTGTCTTCGACACACAAATTTTTATGCACCCACATTTTTATGTGGACATATTATGCCATCGCCCCTGTTCATCTGTTCGTGTGTCCATTCAGATTTGTTTGTGGACACTCTACCTACAGGTCACAATATTTACCTGGTTTTTGATAAAACTTAAAATAAATATTCTTTATATCCAAAAGATCTTGGATGGGTTTGTTTTTGGCACATATTGGACATTATAAACCATAGAATATTTGAGGCCGTTAATTCCTACAGGCCCCCCAAATTCTGTAGAATACTATAGAATTTTATCCTATAGAAAATGGGACACACCTCTCCAAAAAACTCTATAGATTTTCTATAGAATTCTATACAATATTGCACTGATATTTTTAGGACTTTTTGCTAAGGATCCGTGTGACAACGACATAGATTTTCTATAGAATTCTATACAATATTGCACTGGTATTCTGTAGGACTTTTTGCTAAGGAACCGTGTGACGACAACATGGGAATGCTCGATTCACAGTCCAGAACGTCCCGAATTGACAGAATTGCAATCGAGTGACGCGGAATTCAGTCCTGTCACAGTTCTGTCAGTCCCAACGACGGAGCTTGTGTGAGTAGAATTGTGACGTAATTAAACACATCGAATGGGTTTCGGCTGCATGGTTGGATGAGATATTTATATATCCAGTCGACGCATGCATTGTAGCCTGAAGTACCCATTTTCACTCGATTGTCACTACTTTTGGGATTGAGAGAATTCAATTCCGGAATGTTCAATTGAGTACGCCCATTATCAATGTACATGTGATAGCAAAGACAAGAGTGCGATCAACTGAAGATGGCGAAGAAGATAAATTAATGACAGACTTGACCTATTCAAAATACCTACGCATATTAAATGAAATAAAAATGTAATATTTTGAATGTACAGAAAGGTTTATCATTTTTAAAGGAAATAACATTCTGGTGATTCGAAGCTACATTATAATAATACTTCCGGTTTTCGAAGTTACAATATTTCCGGTTTTGAGAAAACTGGGTATTCCGACACTCTGTGTAATCCGACATATTGTAACGATCTGTACGATGTATGATTTGACAGAGTCCACTATATATCCACATTAGCAGCTACATTATGATCATTTAAAAGGTCTGCCTCGCAGAACCCCTCAAAGTCGCTTGCCTCCATAGAGTGAAAATAAAGTCAACACTGCGTGATGACCGCAACTAATAATTGTATTACGATCAACAAACAGGTGAATGATCAGCGATCGATTCTACCTGTCGATGTAAACGAAAAAATATAAATGATCAAAACAAAATACAAACAATCGGAAAAGAAAATTATAGCAATTGATAATAGCGTTATCACTTACATACAAAGTGCACGGTCTAGATCAAATAAAAAAAAGACAATACGGGAAGTGGTGTGATCATTTATATGAGGTGTGGTCACGTGTCATTAAGTGCAAAAACACACCAATGCGCTGAGCTGTTTTTAGCCTTTTAAGTTTGAGCGAGTGTGCCACACTGATCAGCAGTGAATTTTCGCTAGGCTGCTACAATCACTGATAATTATTATATTGATGCGACTTAATGAGTTCCAAATATTAACTTTTTTCTTCCGTCAAATTAAATTCTAAAACATTTTTTTCATTTATAAGAAAAATAAATAAAGACGTTTGAATTGTTTGTAGGTAAAAATCCTTTCCTATTTAGTGTAAATGGGTATTAAAATAAGTAAAATTCACCATTTAGCCTGAATCAGTAATGTCTTATGTAAACAATGCACGCGCTATTGAGTCAATGATTGACGCCGCGTGATGTGACGTCACGTGTCGAAACAATCATCTGTAACAGAGATATTAAAAGATCTCTGTGAATCAGATTGCGAGTGTGCATGGTTAGAAGAGTAATAAGTAATATGCAATATAAATCCGAGATATGCCTGAAGGGCATGTATGGAATATAATGTCATATTATGTATTTTATACTTTTAACCTTTTGTTGTACATTACCTAACATTATTTATAATCCATTGTGCATGGACAGAGGTCGCAGTGGATCAATTTCGAATTGTGTAAAAATATGCAGACATTCAAAAATTTTGCGTTTTTGCTCTCTACATCTGCTTGATTTAGAGTCTTTCAAAATACTCAATAGAAGCAAGTAAAATCGTTATGTGAACGACCCAATTTTAAGCATCGTCAGTAAGATCAGGAATAATCAGACGACTCAATTGTGCAGGTCAAATTGTGGTTGTTTATTTAAAGAACATGGCGAGCATCCAGAGGGTACAAACCAAAACGAGGCAGAACAAAAGGTGAAGGCCAGGTCAACATTAGTATGGAAACATATAATGGACATAACTAATAAACACGTATGATTAACAGGCATACTGGCGCGACCACTTTTTCTTTTGTGGAAAATAAAAGTTTATAAAACTGTAACTGTTCATGTATAATAAATGATGATTATATCAGCGTTTCGTAGTAGTTTCGTATTCTCTCAGATAAGTTGGTGGACGGCGAGTTCTCACTGGACGTCTGTTTGAACCATTCTGATTCTTGGGTACATCTTAATTGTTGACTGGAACCAGGCGTATCAGGATGGGTTGAAGGGTCTGGGAGAATCAATTCCGGGGGTATTTCCAACGGAGGTGGGGCAGGCAAAGGAAGGTTGAACATTAGGGGTTTAGGCTGTTGTGTATCCACAGGAGCCTGGACTAGAGGTGATCTACCAGTAGGTGACTGCATAGGCGTAGCAGTCAAGGAATCGTCGGTATCGCTGTCTGAGTCTAGAAGACTGGAACAGGGGGGGAGGGGATGATGGAGGGACCTTGTAACATTCTGTAACCTTTACTTGGTATTCCTTGGAACGGAACTGGGATCCAGCGAACTTTCTAAGAGTACAGCATTGACCATCAACGGAGAGTACAAAGTAACGATCACGTGCATTGTACTTGTTGCCATCACAGGTTAAGTAGACGAGGTCACCCGCTTCAACAGGGCAAGCAGGCGGATGAGGCCTACCCGGATTCTTAGATCTTTCACTGTACGGATGATTGGTAATCCGCTGCTTAAACTGGTCAGATATTAATTTGTCGTCTGACATCTCAATTTGAAGATTGGTATACTGATCGCGTTGGGTCCACATTTCTCGAGATGATAATCCTCTTGAGCGAATCTTAGTGTTAAGATGGGCAGTTGCGACTGTAAGTTCAAGAGGAGTAATAACACCCCCCTCCGGCTTCAGTCGAAGAAGTTCTTCAATGAGTTCCAGAATGGCGCATTCAGCCACAGGGTTTTTGTTGACATTCTTGGGTCGGCCGATGTCGAGGGATATGTTGTGCTGTTGGAGGGTTTCATCATTCTGAAGTCCAGTGAAGGCAGGAGCGGGATCAACCCAGATGGTAACAAGGGCATTAAGGGGAACCATGGGGAGACATTACTGGAGAAGGGCTGTACATAGAGTGCTCTTGCGTTCATCAGGTACTTCACAAGTGGTAGTGAATGAGGATACTGTTTCGCGTAAGACGAGGATAAGTTGTTTATTCCGTTTCATTGCGTCTGCTGCAAATGTTATTCCGAGCTGGTGAGGAGGGGTATCTGAGGTAGACTGCTCTTTGCGTGTTTTAGGGATTTTCGTTAGGGACACACACTGGTGACATCCATCAACTGTTTCGTTAATGGCTCTGTTGAGATCTAAAGCATAAAAGTGGCGATTAAATAGCAGTTTCAGCTGATGCTTCGATGGGTGGTTGAATCTAATGTGGAGAGATACTAGGAAACCATGGAGGAATGGTCGAGGGATTATAGTACAGTTCCGGATGGGTGATAGGGGGTCTTGATGTTTAACTATTAGAAGACCAGATGAGCTAATTGTTGCCACACGTAGGTATCTTTTGACGTCGGGGATGTTAGTTAACTTTTTGGATGGGCGGGTTCCCTGGGTGATGTGGGCATGGAATCGTCGTAGATCAGGACATTCCTGATGGAATTGTAACCAGGTTGATGGGGTAGTATAGGGCATTCTGGTAGATCCATGTAAGACGTCATCGGCTGATATCGAACAAACTACGCTGGTTTCACATGACTGTAGAAAGTTACACAGTTGACAATTAGGATGGACACAATTTGGGGCATTACGACTGGAAAAGTCTGAAGGCATGTTTACTGACCCTGCAAGATGATTGACAGTAATCTGGTAGCGGCTTACGATCGATAAGAAGGTGGTTACTCTGGAGCTGGCTGAAAATTCTCCTCTACAAAGCTTGGCATAAGCTTTGACACATGGTTTACTGTCAGTCAGAACGGATGTGCGGTGTTTGGACTGGAGAATATAAGGGGCGTAGTGTTTAATTGAAGCAGAAATGGACAAAGCATCGATTTCACAAGGTATCCAGGTGGTTTGATGATGTTTCAACTTGGCACTGAAAAAACCTGCCAGGAGTAAGGAGCCGTTCCGGGAGACATACAGGGTAGCTCCGAGGCCAGATAACTTTGCTGAGCCGTCAGTGATAATCCACAGCTTGTCATCATTACGTGAAAGGTTGATGTGGTTCCTGGTGTGAAGCTCTTGTTGGGCTGTTCTAAAAGCAGCTGACAAGTCGTCATTCCAAGCTATCTTGTCTTTTGAATCTTTACCAGCGATGTAGTCCTCCAGTGGCGTAAGGTAGCTGGCACAATCCTTGATAACCCTGGCAAGAATCTTGTACGCACCAATGAATGAGCGCATAGCCTTTACGTTTGAGGGAAGTTCACATGTGCTGAGGGTAGAAATTTTGTGAGGAGTTGCACGGATGGTTCCATTAAACCAAATCCATCCTAGTATGGTTGTAGACTGGGGGCAAATAACTGTCTTCTTAAGTGAAAGTTTCAGGTTACCTTTGTCTAAGAGCTGCAATAACCGCTTCCATGGTTACCTTTGTCTAAGAGCTGCAATAACCGCTTCCATGTAGAGTGAAAGTTT